TATGTAAAGGAATGGCTGAGGGATGAGAAAGAGAATGTAAGGCCCAGCTTTCTAAAATCAAGAATAATCTTTAGCCTGAAAAGCTAATGGGGAAAAAATGGCAAGGAAATAAAATCCAAAACTCATGTCAAACTAAAATTCCTTTTCTGATGGCATAATGAGAATGATAAGGCATGGAAATAGACCAAATGGTTTACCTGGATTTCAGCAAAGCTTCTGATAAATAGCTAATAGTAATTAAGTGGTGCTGAAGGATTACCTTACATTACAGGGAACATTTAGACATGTTATTGGTTCAATGGATTGATATTGACCTCAACAAGGATTATAGCTTCTTCAAATAGGACTTTGCCCTGGCCCTTTCCTATTGTCATTTTTATCAATAAGAGTATAAAATTAAAGATTCTGAATTTGTTGATGTCATTAAGTGAGGCAGAATGGTAGCTGTACAAGGTGATAGAATTAGGCCCCAATATTTTGAAACAGATAGGAATAATGGTGTCAATCTTGGAAGATGAAGTTTAATAAATACCAGGCCTTATTCTTGTCTTAAAGAGCAGAAGTGTACATGAGAAATCAAGGTGTGGGTCAGTTTAAAATTGTACATTTTATGAATGTAATGGTAAATGCATAAGAGCTATTATAAAGATCACCAATTAATCCTCGAAATCACACTTCAAAGTAGGCATTGTCGCCAGTTTATGGTGAAGAAACAGGGTAAGTGAGATAACTTTCCACAGTTCTCACAAGAAGTTTAGACTGAGATTAAATTTGTCTAATCCTGACATTCATGCTCTTTCTAAGGCTGCACACTGCTACAACATCTAAGTTCATATGGGAGAGTTAGACCTCACTTGATTTCTAACTCCTATTATGTACTGTGATTGCATTTTCTTTAATATTTTAATTCTTGGTGCTACTTCAAAATGACATTTACTTTTATAAAAGGAGGAAAGGTCATCTTTTGATAAGCAGTTTCATTCAATTAGGCAAAACTAATTTACTTCAAACATTCAAATCCTTCCAGTGTGGCACAGAACAAATGTTGGCAAACTATGGTCTGCAGGCTGAGTCCAGCCCATCTCCTATTTTTGCTCGGCCCACAAACTAAGAATGGTACTTAACATTACTAAATGGCTGAAAAAAATCAAGAGGGAATTTTACGACACATAAAAATTATATGAAATTCAAATTTTAGTGTCCATAAATAAAATTTTATTGGAACACAGCCATATTAATTCATTTACATATTGACTATGGCTGCTTTCATGCTACAAAAGCAGAGTTGAATAGTTATGACAGAAACCATATGTAGTTCTTTCATTGTTTTGCACTGCTCTTCAACATGCACAAATCTGTGATGGCTATAAAACTGAACAGCATTTCAAGTGTCATATATATTGTCATACAGACATTTTATTTTTTTATTACTATACATCATGTCAAAAAAAAGCTTTTAAAAAGTGGACTCTGAGTGATGTACTTTTAAGGCACAGTGGAGTGTGAATTGTACAACTATATGGCAAAGCATTGTGTTTATTATGCAATGACACTTTCACTGTGCTAAAATAATACATTTCCAAACTAAGCACTCATCACAATATTCCCAACCCACAGGAAATCAACAGTTAGAACAATTAGAAAACTTAAAACATAATATCTCATCACAGCATAATCTACTAACTTAAAAAACTAGAATTAGGGTGGAACCAAGTAACTTTCTGAGTGGCTCATTTGTTAGCCAAGCAAAGACAACTATATACTGATGGTGAGTTAGAGTCAATTTAATTGTGTTTGATTGCAGCAACCAGAAAGTGGGCGCAGAGAAAAACTTCTTTATAACTACTAGCTTTTCAGTAAGAATACTTGCTTGGAGACATGAGGACATTATGGCAACACCAATAGTCAATTAAAAAACAAAGCAAATGATTTTAAGTAGCTTTGCTTGGCTTTTGGTGAGTCAACAAATGTTACCAATATGGCCCTGTTGTATACTTGAGAAGTCAATGGTGAGTATGAAGTGACTCAAGAACTAGCCTTTATGAATAGTCTGCATACAATAACTACAGGAAATAATATTTTCAAAGAAGTCGAGAAAACACCAATTCAGTATGAACTGAAGTAGAATCTGCTAAGATGTGTTGCAATTCATGGTGGTAAAAATATGTGTGAAGTGGCAGGGAAAAAAAAAACCCTGCATGGTTGAATAAATTAGTCAATGGTTACATGCTGCATTATTCATCAGCAGGTATTTGTGGGAAATATTTGAATTATATCATGTCATTGAACTAGAAAAATCAATGGTGAATTGTATTCACTTGTGATCTTAATCATCACTGGTTCCATTTAGTTTTGTCAGAAATGGAAGTTGAGTACTCTGACTTGCCCAATTACATAGCAGGTTGATCACAGTAAAGTTTTTTGGTTTTGTTTGTTTGACACAGGATCTCACTCTGTTGCCCAGGATGGAATGCAGGAGCATAATCATGGCTCGCTGCAGCCTCGACCTCCTGGGCTCAGGACATCCTCCCACCTCAGTCTCTTGGGTAGCTCGGACTATAGGTGCGTGCCACCACACCTCATTAATTTTTTGTAGAGATGAGGTGTTATCATCTTGTCCAGGTTGGAGCGGTAGTTTTATTGCAATTTTTTTTTTAGCTCAGAACCAAGACTGAAATTGTTATAAATGAGGAGAATCACCCCCAAACTATATTCAAACACTAAATAGCTTTGGAAATTAGCTTTTGCTATAGACTTGATAATGCTTTTTACCAAATTCAACCTACAATTACAAGGCAAAACAGCACTTATATTTGAAATATACTGTGACAAGGTCATTTTGATGGCAATTCATGTTGTTTAAATCACAAGTAATATCAATGTGGCTTTATATATTTCTCATGCTATCAAGGTAAGAAGCAAGATCTCCATTCCCACACAAACTTGTAGTGAACACATTTTCCAAGTTCCACTATAGTTCAAGCTGCATTATTGGACCTTGATGCAAGTGCAAAGGACATTTTTCTATTTCAATATTCATTTTAATATACAATTGAGCATCCACCTAACCTTCAATAGGAAGTGATTAATCTGCTAAAGGCAGATTAACGACAGCTAAAAGGCAAATATCAGTAGCAGAATCTTAACGGAATTCTATAAATACCTTCCAAATGATTAATATAATCAATTAAAATCACGCAATCACAACTGATAACAGAACTTGGATGTATCTAGTCTATTTGAGTGAAAAGATGTTTTCAAAGATGAAATACAAAAAAATAACATTATAGGCCAGCATTACCAAATAAATACTTATAACTAATTTTGAACCCCAATTTAGTGAGATACTATCCCCTCAAAATCCCTCAATTCTTGTCATTGGTAGCCCTGTATTACAAAAAAATTCAAGTATTAATGTATTTTGAATTTTATCAATAAAATACATGTGAAAAGTTTTCTTTCTCATTACATAAATATATAAAAGCCTTAATTTTTCCTCTTGGCTCACAAAGCCTACATTTTACCAAAAAGTTTCCAACCCCTAGTCTGGAGAAGTGCCAGAGTGTTTGTCAGTTTAAGTGAAATCAAAGTATGATAAATATCCCAAAAACAATTGGTCTAACTAAACCATTTTTATATCTCAATAATATTACCTGATCATTCTTCTATATACAGTCCTTTCTTTGGTTATGATCCATGTCATCTTATGAACAAGTAGATTTCCTAAGAAAATAATTTACGTGGGTCTGTATTAGAGCTGGGCAGAGAAGAAACTAGTTATCCTCAACATCAGCAAATCTTTATAATTCTATTTGCACTCTAGTAGAAAAAAATGTTTTTAACTCTTCTCAACCAATTCCATCACCAATGTGTCTCCTGGTCAAACTATGACTCAGGCTCAGCCACTGGAAGAACAACATTCCCTTGTCCATAGTAATTTGCTGAGGGGCGGGCACATCAACAAATAAGGGAATGTCAGTCTTAGGCTGCTGTTGGAACTATTGAGAAAAATGGCCCTTTGTTTTTGCTGAGGATACTAGCATGGTAAGAGTAGAAGTCTCAAGCTGCTGGATGGCCATTTTACCATGACACATGGAAAGTCTACTTGACAGTGACAACAGCAGGGTAGAAAGCAAAACCAAAAAAAAAAAAAAAAAAGATATGGAAAAAGATTCCTGTCTTAACTACAAGATTAAGCATGTCTGAAGGCAGTCCTACCACTACCAGACTTTTCAGTTAAATGAGATAATGTACACTATTATTGCTCAAGCCAGGTTAAATTTCTGTCACTTGCAGAACAGAACTTCAAAGGGTTCTGACTAATGCAACTATACATTCATTCAGATTGGGATCTTAATCTTTAGTACAATTTTTCTAAATAGAGTCTTTAACAGTTTTGTATCATCTCTAGATTGTTCTCCTACTTCTGAAGGTCTCTGCTGCTTAATGGACACACTTTTCATAGGCTGAGTGTGGGCTTCTTTGCCTTATCTTACCTGTAGCATCCCTCAGTAAGCAGCGCACCATTAATACCATTTTGTAAAATCCCTTAAAGTACCTAGAACAATGATAAATGATGAGATACTGTTAAAAATATGTGCTCTCCATCCGTACTAATTTTAAAGTTCACTTAAAACTAGATTAATACTGGTTAATTTCTGTGAATATAATGGTATGATTCCATTTTCAAAAAGGAAAAATGATTCTATTTACCTTAATTTATCAGAAGACATCTTTAATTACTGCTCTATTAAACAGTTCAGGAGTATAATTTTTTTTAATATTAAAGAAAGCTTATATCCTTTACCTAACGTGTGCTCTTTACCACTGGATTTCAAGAAAGCAAAACAAAACATAAACAAAATAACAAAAGCATATTCCTTTAACTCTGCTTCTCACATATAACAGACTAAATAAACCAAATTTTTTAAATCTCTATCTTAAATTAAGCAGTGGCATTATCTTACCCATCATTACAGGAAATGGGAAAGAGCAAGTTTAAAAAAACTACTTTTATTTTTTTTTTTATTTCTTTTTCAGTTACATACTTTTTAAACAGGGATGTGTTTCATTATTCAGACATTCAGGCAATGTTGACTTCATTAGTGTTGACAGAAAATAAGCATAAAAATGCAAAACATTGTTGGCTTAACCTGAACATACCTGCATTACCTATTATTGACCAGTTTGTGTTGCCAGAAGACTTATTCCTTGGCATTAAAATGGAGCACTTAAAAATATTGCTAAAAAGCAAATGTCTACACACTGGTCTTTGCAGCAAATAAGGGTATTTATACTTTTAAAATATTTTAAGTCCATAATTGGATTAATATACACACCTTCTTATGTATAAGGAGTTCAGATCATATAAACACTGTACAATCCAAAAAATCCTACTGAGAATAAAACTAAATAGGCTTATGATAAGAAATACAGTTATCGCATGTATTTACAAATATCATAGACACACAAATTTGGTCAAATACTGTAAAGAAAGAAGTGGTTTCACATTATAATGGCCAAAACATCCATCTTCCTTACTCAAAGCAAATAAAATAAAAACTCAGTACGTAACTCCTGCAGTTTAAGACATCATGACAGTATACATATAGACAGAATGGAAACTGTTGACCAAATTATATAGCAAATGTTTTCTAGGTTAAGTGTAGGTCTTTAAAATCAAAAAAGATCATTCACAGGATTCATAGCAACAATGATAAACAATGTCCTGATTTGTGATGTTCATGTGGGTGCCTAATTCATCAAAAACAATGCATTAAACTTTTGGCTAATAAGAAAAATAAATTACAAAGTACAATTAAATCCCTGTAAATGCAATAATGAAATTAAAAAATGTAGATTTATTTACTTTAATATACATCTTAAATGTTACCTTGAGACAATAAAAATAAATAAGCATGCCTGGAGGCATACACTTAAAGACAACGAAGAGACTGCATGGAAGGAATAAGTAAAAATTTTATAAATGAAAGATGAACATGAGATTTGTTCAAAAATAATTATCTTTCTAGCCAGTCTTTTTGTTTTAACCCTTTTTGAAAATTCTGGCTAGAAGAATGTGACAAAAGTACATGTGTGTCTTTATGGCTTAAAACAAAGCAGACTTGAAAAGTGAAGTGGGCTTCCTTTTTAACAGAATTTTTTTGTTTGTTTATATGCAGGCACTTCAAAAGACTATGGAGGCAAAGCACCTGACCCATCCTTTCCAAAATATTTTTCAATCATCAAAATTATGCTAAAGAGTAGGAAAATTCCAGAGAATCAGCAAAGTTGAATGTAAGAGACTAATGTGTACAGAGGGCATAGAGTGACCCACTTTTTATTGCTGGGGGTCCTTTTTTTTTTTTTTTAATCAAAGAGGAAAATAATTACACAGACACTATTGCATGGCACATCCAAAGTGTTCTGCTTAAGGGAGAATGTAATCATTCAGCAGTAGGTTTCAGTGAGATTTCTTTAGGCTTCCACCATATACATTGCAACAAGGTTCACATTTACTACTTCTCCTTAGTGTATTTCTTTATAACTCCAACATATATCACTTCTTAAAGTATTCATTTCTTGCTGTCTAACATACATTTTTGGAAGCATAAAGTTACATTATACAAATATTTTGCATTTTTAAAAATAAGCGCTTTTGCCACTTCTGCAACACAGTACTTCACATAGTGGTGCAACAAAAGCAGAGCACATATTTACTGCACTACTTAAGATTCATTTTACCACTACCATCTGCTGAACCCATATTGCTTTTTCCTCAGTACCTCTGGGCAGTGACTGTACCATGATTTCACAGAAAGAATGTTAATATGACTTATGAATAGCAGTACCATCAGTAATACTGAAATCAATGCAGATGTCACAAAATATGAAGTTCTCAAGGAATAATTTCTTTTAAATATTTGGGCAACTCTCTTTTCTCTGTTGTATTATCCACTGAGAAAAAAAAATTCCTTTTTGATTATACTCTTACAGAGTTATAAAAAACCAGATTAGGTATAAACTGGATGACACTTAAGATACTGTACTGCTTTCTATAACAGAAGAACTTCCGAAAAATGTTCTATAGAACTGTATTCCTCAATACCACCTCATTGGTCCATTCCATTCATTGATGGGCAAAGCACTCATGTTTTGACAAAACTTTAAAGCTTCCATAAAAGTTAAATTAGAAAAAAAAATGAATGTAAGACAACCACAAAATGAAGTATGAAAGTATGACATTTTTGTTTCTAAGAGTGAGTCCTTAAAAATATATGTGGTCACTACAGAGATGATTTTAATCACAAGACAGCAGATGAACATGTAAGTAACTCCCCAGGATCTGTCTGTGTCCAGAGTCATTTGTGGCGCTGTATAGTTTTCCTTTTCCTTCGTTTGAAAAAACAGCAGCACCTGCAGATGAGGGAAACACTCTTTATTTTAAAAGCAATAAAATTTCACAGAGTTGACTTTATCACACTAACTTAAATGGTCATAAAAAGCAACAGGCTAGTGCAAAATAAACAGTGATTACACCAATGAAGCATATGTATTAGTGAAAATATGGCAGAGTTATTACTATTATGTTTCATCCACATGCCTTTTAAGAATAGCAAGACATTCTATGCAACATAAAAAGGAGCCACTAAATTCAAAAGGTTTTGTAGTAATACCAACTGAAAAGTTCATCCTGTACATTATCTCCCTTTCTCCCTGATATTTATATATGATTGTTGAAGCCATTATTAGAAAGGTAAAAATGATCCTAACATTGGGGAGTTTATTCTCACCAAGAATCAGTTTAGACTCCAAAAATAAAAAGACACTCCAATATAGTCAACGACACTTTCCATCATATTTACAAAGAGAATGACAGAAAATACATTATATAGAAAGTCAAGACTGGCAATTTTTAATTCCTTAGGGTTAAAGAAGGTCAAGCTTATCGAAAGTTTAGTTAAGATAAAATTATGTTTAATATTTAAAGTAGCACAATTGAGGTGATTCTGTTTTGCAATTCAAAACTGCAAAACACTATAATCCTGACTTTTATTCCTAGGTGAAAAGAAAATCTTGGCTGGACACAGTGGCTCACACCTGTAATTCCAGCACATTGGGAGGTCAAAGCAGGAGGACTGCCTGACGTCAGAAGTTGAAGAATTCAAGACCAGCCTGGGCAATACAGCAAAACCCTATCTCTTAACTCTTTCGTTCTCTAAATATATATACATATCTAAATATCTCTAAATACACACACACACACACACACACACACACACACACACACACACACACACAGGGCCTGGTGGCACCTGCCTGTTGTCCCAGCTCCTTGAGAGGCTGAGACAGGAGGAATGTTTGATCTATGATTCTGCCACTGCACCCCAGTCTGTGTGACAGAGCAAGACAATGCTGTGATCTGGTATTAGCTGAAATATGAGAATCGCTGATCTGCTCCCACCAAAAAAAATAAATAAATAAAAATAAATGCACACGTATCTTTAAAGTCTCACAATCCTTCAAATAAAGGTATGAAGGTATGGCATTTTTCCCCTCCAGATGTAAGAGTCAGTATAGCAGAATATACAACATGACATACACTACATATAGTCAGGCACCTTTTCTTTTAACCTTTAAACAGTCCACCCCTTCCTAAGGTTGAGTTTACTTTTGGCACAGGCAAGCATGGTTGGGTATCCCTGGATTTTCCGTTTAACTCCTGTGTGGGTGTGTGGGTATGTCTGTTAATCATATTTTGTAATAACAGTAAAGTATATTTATATACATGGTGATTCTATTACTGAGAGCTGTCAGTTCAAAGACTGTGTGTAATATGACCCTATAAAGATGTTTCTATAATTCTTAGCAATCTGTATTCATTAAAGAATAGCTTCGGCCAGGCACAGTGGCTCATGCCTATAATCCCAGCACTTTGGGAGGCTGAGGTGGGTGGATCACGAGGTTAGGAGTTTGAGACTTGCCTGATCAACACGGTGAAACACCGTCTCTACTAAAAATTAGCTGGGCTGGTGGTGGGCACCTGTAATCCCAGCTACTCAGGAGGCTGAGGCAGGAGAATCACTTGAACCTGGAAGCGGAGGTTGCAGTGAACTGAGATCAAGCCATTTCACTCCAGTCTGTGTGACAGAGCAAGACTCCATCTCAAAATAAAAAAGAATAGCTTCAAGTGTCCCTCCCAGCAAAAGATTACAGAAAATGAAATAACTACTAGATATGTTTTATATACTTCTGTGAAATAAATGTAAATGGAATCTACACTGTCCAGTTAAATTACATAATCTCTCTACCCACATTATCTTTAGTCAAAAATAATTTTGTATCATTTATTATTGTGATTTCTGCCATAATTATGAAACCACTATGAAGGTACTAAAAACCAAATTATACAATGGCATTTTTTAAGTGAAGCAAAAAGTATACACTGACTAGACCATGGAATGTAAATAATTTAAAGCTGTGGATCAGCTGATAAAAATTCAACTAGAAATATATGTAATGATGGATGTTTATAAACTTTACCCTTATGGAGGTGACTAGCAGAAAGAACTGAAATGAGTTACCCAGTCAAGAGCCTAGAGAAGAGCTGCTACAGTGAAACAAGACCACAGATGTTAACAGATTTGCTCTGGACTTTAAAAAATAAGTCAAATTTATTTTTAACTGTCAGCTACCTAATATTTCTCAAATCTCAATCATTTTCTAAATGATAAAATCCTTTACTCCAAATAAACCTTTAATATGTAGAAAAGAGCAGAAAAATATCCATATGGCAGAAAGCAAGACATAAAAATAGGTATTTAGAAGCGACAGACCAAATACTTAGAATATTACATTTAAGAATATGGTCATATTTCAATGGAAATTTATTAACTGATATAAAGTTGCTTTAATAATGCTCACTATTCTTAGATACTGTCTTTTCAAATTTCAAAGTATATTCTTTCAAAAATTTTCTAAAGTTACATTAGCCCTTTGAAATGAGTAATTTTATGCAATACACATTTTGATGAAAGATTTTCTACACTTGTTTTAGCAATTTACTTTGCTTAGTTTGAATTTTCAGCATTTGAGAGTTCTGAGAGTTGAGTGCTTTACACTTAAGTAATCTTTCCTAAGCATTTTACTAAACTACGTCAAGCATTTATTTGAGACTAAATAAGATTTTCAAATAAATTCTAATGGTCCTTAAATTCAAACACAATCTAAAAAGGACATCTATTTTTCAGAAATAAATCCCACTAAATAAACATATCCTTATAACAGATCTGCAAAAGTAAAGCTGGCATGCTATTAAAGTCACTACCACCAGAGGACAGCGTTGCCTTATGTGATACAAATGCATCCAAATAACACAGACGAGAGATGCTCTCAAAATATGATATACTTACAGAAGAAATAAATTGATGTTTTAACGTTATGGCTTATTGCTTAGCATAAAAACAATTACAGAAATAACTAATTTATAGTCTTAGTGATTAAGAAATCAGGTCTCATCTCAATTGCTTCCTGTCCCCAGCACTCAATCTGAAACAGTGTTACTACCATGTAGCCACTCAATCACAATACTGTTTTATTTTCCTGTAATAACTTACTCTTACTTTAAAATTATTTTATTTGTTATTTGCCTTTGCACTATAATTTAAGCTTCATAAAGGATTGCTCACAGTTATAGCCCAACAACCTGGTACAATGTTTGTACTTATTTAATAATGGTCCTCTTACCTCAGCCTCCTGAGTAGCTGGGACTACAGGCGCTCAGCGGGTAATTTTTTTATTTTTTTATTTTTAGTAGAGACTAGATCTCACTATGTTGCACAGACTGGTCTCAAACTCCTAAGCTCAACCAATTCTCTCATTTCAGCCTCTCAAAATGTGAAGCTGCATCTCTACTCTAAAATTCGTTGGGAATAAATGTTAAGTCCTACTTACGATGAACTTTAGAAACAAACTTAGTACAGTTAGGCAACAAACAGGCAATCATAACAGATCAAAGTCCTAAAACACACAAAGGCTTTTGCTATTGACACCACACCACCATTTCTCCTTTGTTCACTGCCGTTTTCTTCATCTAATTTGCCTTGTTTTCCTGGATATATGTCATCTACTTCCTTCTTTCAAATCCACACAGAAACGGAAGGATGTTTCCCTATCTAGACATGATGTTCTTATTTATCCCTTCTAAGATGATTCATCGCACATCCTTTGGTTGAGGGACTGTCGGTACCTCCTAGACCTACCCACATAGGACTCCAGAACCTAGAGTCTCTAGTACAGAAGTATCTTGTATGGAATGTAATCTTTAATTCTTTGACAAAGAATGTTCCCCTTAAGGTTTAAACCTGAAGTGTAATTTCATATCTCTGGATCTCTTGATTAAAAAAAAAAAATGAGGAACCATTTAGTTAAGCAAGTAGAATTTAGATCAGAGAATAAGATCACCCACAAAATTAATCCAACTAAAAGCCTTCAGGCCCATCTTCATTTCGAATTCCTTCCTCCCTATCCACTTAAGTCTGAAATGACTTTCAATTAATCCCTTAAGTCTGAAATGACTTTCGAAATTTCCCCATCTTCTCATGCTGGCTTAGTTCAGAACTTTTCTACTTGCCTCCACTATTGCTAAGCACCTTTTAAAGGACTTCCCAGTCTAAGTCTCTCCTCTTTCCATCCAAATTGCCCCCATCATAAATATGGCCATGTCCTTTTCGTCTGAAATCTCATCAATGATTCTCCATTGACTAAAGCATTAAGTGCACACAGCTCTTCAGAATTTGGTTCCCAACCTACTTCCACTCTCCTCTTAGTCTCATCCTCCATGAGGCTTCTTTCCCAGGTAGCCTATACTATGGATGGAAGGGAGGGAAAAGTAAGAAAAAGCAAAAATCTCCTTGCTATTCCCAGAACATACCATGTGGGATTTCTTACCTCTTTATCTTTGTACATGTTCTTCTCTCCATTTAAAATCCACATGCTCTCTCCCAGAAAACAGTTATAGTCTCTGTCATTTTGTATTATAATTTTTATACCTCTCTCTTTCTCACTGAACTGCTCTCGAGGAAACATTATTCTTCACTCATCTTTATAGTTCTGGAGATTATCAAAGTCTTGAACACTTAGTATTATAGAAACTAAACAAATGGTCTGAGACTATCATCTTAAAACATTTTTTAAGCAAGTTTGTTTGTTAGAGACTACTAACCCAAAATACAAATTCTCCATCTAGTTTCACAGGAAAACTTAATTCATATTTTTAAACCATTTTCTGCAACCTCATGAACACCAGGAAGTAACATAAGCCTCATAACTGCTGCCAAATTAATTTTCCTAAGGACCAACCTGATCATATTGTTTCTTGGCTTAAAAACCACATGATGTTTCTTGACTTCCTTTCTTGTGCTGAGAAAGATAATGTCCAAATTTGTTTACTGGCTACCAAGGCCCTTTGAGATTGGGATATTATTAGCCTATCTCTGTTTCCATTAATGTGTTTATATATTCTCTGACTGCATCATTTACTTCTTGAACTTGATCAATTCTGTCCTTGCTCCAACCTCTTCTCTCTTGACTTCAACCCATTTCCCTTGCCAAATCATACTCATCTTTGAAAACTAGTGTAAATGCATCCTTACCCATGAGGACTTCTCTGATCTTCCCAACTAGGAGGACATACTCCATTTTCTGAACTCCAGTAACATTTATCCCTCTCCTATAGTGCTAATTGTATAATACTTTTTATCAGAATGGTCCTTAATCCTGGCTGCTCCTAGAGTCACTTTGGAAGCTTTTTATGATAAGCATGTCCCACCACAGACCAATTGGTAAAATCAGAAACCTTAAAAGTACAGCCTAAGTGTTATAGTCACCTAGGAGTTTTGAAACTCCCTATGTGACTATAATGGAAAACCAAGGTTGAGAATCATTATATAAAAGTTGTTGGTATACTTTCTATCCGACCTAATGGTATACAAACTTTGACATACCTTAATAATCATATTACCAAACATACGATAATCTGTTCAGTAAATGTTGCAAGAAGAAAAGAGAAAGAAACAATAAAAGATATTTTCATACTACTTAAAAAGTAAATAATTAAATTATTTTGTTCTCCCAAATTCCTGGAAAAAACTGATAAGGATGCTATTATTTGTATCACTTGTCTTAAAATTCTCAACTACAGTAAACAAGAAAGACAAAAACCTCATTATTAATGAAGGTAATTAGCTTTTCCATCATTCTACATATGGGAGAATAGAGTATTTTCCATCATTTGGAAATCAAATACTAAAATGTGCATTTTTTTTTTTTTTGAGACGGAGTTTCACTCATGTTACCCAGGCTAGAGTGCAATGGCGCGATCTCGGCTCACTGCAACTTCTGCCTCCTGAGTTCAGACAATTCTCCTGCCTCAGCCTCCTGAGTAGCTGGGATTACAGGCACGCACCAACATGCCCAGCTAATTTTCTGTATTTTTAGTAGAGACGGGGTTTCACCATGTTGACCAGGATGGTCTTGATCTCTTGACCTTGTGATCCACCCGCCTCGGCCTCCCAAAGTGCTGGGATTACAGGCTTGAGCCACCGTGCCCAGCCTTAAAATGTGCATTATAAAATACATTCTATTTAATGGGGTGAGGTGAGAGGGATCTCTGCCAATTATAGGTAAGAAGAAAGATGATAATGAAACAAATTCTGAGTTATGTGTCATCCCTAGTTATGTGTCAAACACATCCCTAGTTATGTGTCAAATGGTGGCAAAGAGAAGACAAGAATAAGATGAAATTTAGACAGGGAGCTGGGTACAGTGGTTTGCACCTATAGTCCCACCTACTGGGGAGGCTGAGGCAGAAGAATCACTTGAGCCCAAGGGTTCAAGGCCAGCCTTGGCAACATAGCAAGATTCCCACCTCTTAAAAAAGAAAAAAATCATGCTCAAATTTTTAGTCAAAGATTAACAGGATATGAGAAATACAATAATAAACCTGTAGAAATGTTAGCATAAACCTAATTAAAGAAAAGAAAAAATCTTGTGTGTTTAAATAGAATGTTTAACCAGCAAAGAGATAGAAAAATTCTGAGAATTTCTGTAACCTACCTAACCCACCTGAAGTAAGGCTTCACTGATATCATGAGTTGCTATCCTTTTTTAAAAACAACCATTTTACTAAGATATAATTCACGTTATAAAATTTATCCTTTGAAAGTATATCATTCAATGGCTTTTAGTATTCAGAATGAGCAGCTATCACCACTATCTAATTTCAGAACAGTTCCATCACTCCATAAAGAAATCCCATCCTCCTCTTCTTGCCCTGAGCAATCACTAATCTTTTGGTGCCTATATATTTGCCTATTCTGAACATTTCATTTAAATGGAATCACATTACATGTGGCCTTTTGTGTTTGGCTTCTTTCATTTAGCACAATGTTTTCAATTTCATTTCTTTATATTGTCAAATGGCAGTCCATTGTATGGGTATACCTCATTGTTTAATTATTTAGTAATGATTTACTAAGGAACATAGCCACTAGGAATCTGAGGATGAAAAAAAATCCTTGTTTTGAAGAAATTCAGTAAGTTTCAAGAAGTGGGAGGTACATAAAGAGGATAACATAGCAAAGGCATATTTAAGGAATCAATGCTATATAAAGTTCAGAAAGAAAAACAGAGCTGTAAAGATAGACAGGGGCCAGACTATGACAGGTGTGAGAGACCTTGGTGCTACGCGAAGAAATATGGACATGATACGACAGGCAATGGAGAATGCTTCCTACAGGAATAGCCTTCCCACCACTTCCTTCTTTCACATGCTCCAATGTCCACAGATAGAGACCCAAACACACACCCACACTCATCCCAACTAAATAAATTACTATGCCATTCTTCAGTGCCACTTCCATAAAGTATTCTCTGATCATCCAGGTCTGGAAATATCTTTATCTTTACAAACTCTAATCATTTTTTCAATACCCTTTTCATAGTATTAATCATATACTGACATATACTAGTACAACTGCAATCTTCCTGCTGGCTTGTAATCTACTTAAGAACAAGGACATTATCAGGTATTTCAGAAACTTCAGCAGTATAATTGCTGAATGAATAAATAGATAAAAGTAATGGATTTGATTAAAAGCAAGTCTCCAGGAGGATGTAAATGAAGAAAAGCTAGTTTCAGTGCAAAGTGTGGGTATGGAAGTAAAAATATGGGACACTGATAAAAGAGGCACAAGCCTGGGAAGAAGAGAGATGAGAAATGTCATTGGCAGCTGGAAGAGAAGAAATAAATAGGGGTGATAATAGCTATTGAGTACCTGCTGTGTGTCAGACAAAATACCAGCACTTTATCACATTTAATTTTCTCAACCAATGAGGTAGATATTATTAGCTTCATTTTACAGAAAAAGAAACAAGCTTTCTTGAAGGTAATAAATAAGTGACAGAAACAGGATTCTTCAACCTATGTTTAACTGCAAAAGATGTGTGCAGTAGAATCTGCCACACCACCACCCTACGTTCCTGTCTTAGGATTGTACCTAAAATTCACAACATAAGCTGTTGTTTTTGTCTTTGATTTAAAAACATGCAAATAAGACTACACTTTCAGGGATTTATTTCTGCAGTCCATAAAAATACACAAGTATACAACTAGTTAATATCCTGAAATATACTAGTCTTTGTCACACTGTCAATAAATTCTACAGTCAAAAGTGATAAAAATGGATTCTTAATCATTGCTCTTTAAGAAAAAAATCCACAAGTTTCCTAATTTTGCAGCCAGCAAATGAGCATTATTTTGAAAGTTATATAAGGTGTCTTTAGATATGAGTAAAATATTTCAGCATTTACTAATGTAAGCAACTTCCTTTACTCAGTCCCAGTCTGACTCAAAATTTGTTCTGCAACTGAGAGCATTTTAAGCACAGTATTACAACTAAAGGCAAATGTCAGGAAATAACTAAAATCCAAAATTATTTATATTAATAAGAACATTACTTTTCCTAATATCATGAGGATTTTTAAAATGACTTTCTCATTATAAGGTTATCATAAAATTTATCGATATTATGTTCAAGGGCAGTAATTGGTTAGTAAATGAAATACTGTTTTGGTGATACTACTGTGGGGAATGAGATCTGCTATATGTATTTAACAATTGCAAACAGAAAAAAGAAAGCTTAATGCAAAAATCTATCTTTCTATTTAAATAGCAAATAAAAACTATTACGAAACAAATGCACAAGCACAAGCAGGGTTGGTGTATCATCTATGCAATTAAAAAGTGGCCCCGAATCTATGTCACTTGAAGTAAAAAAAGTTGCAGCAGGCAAAAGAGCTCCTCAAACAATTATTTCTTGCTTTTCAGAGCTATCTTAACGATATCAAATACTTTTGAATAACTTTTATCAATTATAATTGGTTGAGAGTTTTGTTTTCAAAAGACACAAAATGATGCTAAATCTTTGAAATTACAGTCAACGGAGCTATTTCTGCCTGCCTACACTTGAGACTCACCACATGTTCAACACTTTCTGGCAGCTATACACACATAAAAAAAAAAATACAAGGGAAAAAAAGAGAGAGAATCAGAAACAGCCCACATTGAAATTATCACATTGTTTTTCATGCATAATTTTTCCCAAGCAATATTGTCATAATTTATGCTTTAAAAAAAATTCAATATAATAAAACATGCATTTTATAAAATTAATATGTATTCTTAATGCTTACAGAAAAAAGATAGCATATCAATAACTTTCATGCATCAACACTCTTAAAACTCAAAAGCTAAAAATATGCTGTTAATTCTAAATAAGAATTTGAGCACAGTTCTTAAATATTTTGTATTATTAAAATGTTTACTGAAACAGCACTATTTTAAACTTACTATAGTGATTAAAATAATTATGCATACCACTTGTTTTGCATGCACCTATTCCCTGAAAAAAAACTCCTGAAATAATTTTATGAACTATAAATCTCAAACATGCATAATTTAAGAACAAAAAGTTACTAAAACAAAACAAACACATACTTGGTTTCATCCATCACTTCTACTTCAGTAGGGGCTGTGATGGGTGCATTTGAACGTCCTGCAGTGGGATCATCTGTGTTTAACTCTCCATTTGTGGAGCTTACAACCTGTTTAAAAAAAAAAGAAAAGAAAAAAAAAATATATAGTACACATACATACTCATAAATATACATACACACTAAATAGGTTATATAAGAAAACATAAGGTTAAAGTATTTCAATTAGAAAGTTAATGTAAGGACACAAAACAATAGGTAGCAACTAAATATAGTAACAGGTCTAGCATTTTATTTAAAAATCAAGGTCATCTAATATGTGCTTTTCAACTTACTTCCTTTCCTTATTGAAATCTCTGTCTTCTGTCTCCTTCCCTCTGGTTTTTAAGGCTAACTCCTACATGTATGTCTCAATCAGTTTCCTCTTGCGTGCCTATGTCCTTTGGCACTTTGCTATATCATGAATTACTTTCCTTGAATATAGAAAAACTTCAATATTACTCCTTCGAATGGATCCTTCACTTCAATCTGCAATTATGCTCAAGTCTCCATTTCAAACTGCCCATTTAAATAGAGACAACACCATTCATTCACCCAGTGTTCAAATGCAGGGGTCACTGTGATTCCTCTTTAACTTAAACCCCACATCTAATCCATCAATGGCAGATCCTGTTAAATCCTTCTCCAAACATATCCCATACCTAATCAATTCTCACCATCTCTATTACTACCAGGACTCCAGTCCAAGGCACTATGATCTCTTATGTGAATAAAAGCAAAAACGTATTATCTAGTCTTCTGCTTTGTCCCTCACTCAAATGTATCATCCACACAGCAATCGCGTTGCTCATTTTAAGATGCAAATCATATCACAGACAGCTCCCTGCTTAAAACTCTCCAATTGTTGGCTTCCTGTTTCACTTAGAGTAAAAAATCTATACTCCTTATGCAAATTGACAAAGTCCCACATGATGTGATGCCTGTCTACCTCTCTGATCTCATACCACCTTCTCCATAGCTCACTAGCCTCCATCCAATATGTCAAGATTCTTCCCACTTAAAGCCCTTGGCATTATCTACTGTCACTGCCTAGAATTCTCTTCCTACTTATCAGCTGACTTCTCATCTTTCAGATTCTCTGAGCAGGCCTTTTCTATCACACAGCTAAAAATTTTCATGCTGACACAGTCTTTTATGTTACACCCTATTTTAAATTATTTGTAGAGTATTTATCAGTGTTCATGTTTTTCTTATTTGCTCATTTGTTGTGTTTCTTGACATGCATCCCTACCACTATTAAAATTAAGCTCCAGGACAACAGAGATCTTGTATTGTTTCCTGCTATGCCTGGCACAGAACAGGCACTCAATAAATATTTGTGGAAATGAATGCATGTATGCATGAATGAAATCCTGAAACAAGATAAAAATCATAATGAAATTCCCAAATTCTCCCAAATTACCCTGTTTCTGCAAATTTACCTTATTATTCTATTTCTTCCTTTTCCCTTATCACTAAACTTTTTGGAAAAAAAAATATATAACTTATCACTTCCAGTTTTATAAAATTTTCCAGTTGTTTATTCGTTTACTCCTTGCAATCAGTTCTCTATCTCTACATAACTCTAATAAGAGTTATCTTAAAGGTTACCAATGATTCTGAGAAAATGTATTCCCATTTAAAGGCCTTGGCATTATCTACTGTCACTGCCTATAATTCTCTTCCTACTTATTAGCTGACTTCTCATCTTTCAAATGTATCATCCACACAGCAATCACGTTGCTCATTTTAAGATGCTCATTTGAAAGATGTACTTTGCTCAGTGCCTCATTTTCTTGTACATCAAATCACTTGGCACTAGCTGAACATTCTGGAGTAAGATGGGTCTAGACTCAAAACCTAGCTCTACCACTTACTAGCTATGAGACTCTGGGAAAAATATCTTACCTTGCTAAAGTTTTCAAGTACAATGAACAGTAGCATATAATTAACAAGGTTGATATGAGGGTGTGATAGTATCAGTACATAAATGTCAATATATAAAGCACAGTGCCTGGCATATGGGAAGAGCTCTAAATGGTGGCCATCCATCACTATGTTTCATCTATAATCGTGGCTTCAACTATCACCTCTAGATAAAGGGCTCCCTGAGCCTAACTACTCAGCCATATACTCAGTTTGCTAAACCAAGTTTGGTACCTCAAACCCTGCATTTCTGAAGATAAATTTATCTTCCTCCCTCTGAAATATATTGCTCTTCCCATAGCTCCCATTTCAGTTAAAGCCCTACCATCTTCTCAGACTTCCAGGCTCAAAAATCTAGGAATTCTCTTTGATGCCCCTCCTACCCAATACCTAATCTCTTTAAATGAAACAAAAGGTTAGCAACTCTGACATGGGCAACAGAGTTGACAACTGACTATTAGACTTAAAAGTAGTATTTACGGTACCTTATATTTCTAAAATTTAATTAAGTTATTGCTTTAGTCTACAGCATGCTAGGCACTGTCGTAGGTATTTGGAATACCAAAGTAAGCAAGATAAAACATCCCTGTCCGTGCAGACATGATACTTTAGTGTAGAGAAATAGGACCCTCTCCAACTCCAAGGAAAGTATTAACAACTACCAATCAACCAATATACTTGAGTTAATTTAGGAATTACGGAGGTTCAGTTTCCTATATCCTATACGGAATAAGTACTTAGAAATGAAGACTGCATTTGTGCCTACAGCTGAAAACATACAAAACTGCCTTGATTATCTTCAAAGGCAATCTAAAGAAAAGAATACTTTTATATCTAAGCATGCCTCTCCTTTTTGGGGGCACTTGCTTCCCCTTTCTGTCATACTATTGAGCTGTAAATCTTTTCTCTTTATTTTTCTCTCTGAAAACATTCAAAAATAATTATTTGTTCTGATTATTGAACATAATTTGGTTCTTTATTCTTAATTTTGAAAATGTCAGAGCCTCCGCACTAAACTGGATAGGAGAGAGAAAGCAGTATTCTTATCTCACATATTCTCTGCTACCTCCATCCAGAGCCTGTATACAGTACATAATCAAACAGTTCACTGAAAAATTTCCAATGCTCTTTCCTCAACATAGTATTCAACGTTTCTTATTCTCCCTTTTGTTCAATGGCCCTAGACAACTGGAGGGATGCCACCTCAACTTAGAGGTAGCTCCTCTAACATATCTTCCCTTATTTTAAGCAGCATAATTGAAAATTTAAAAAAACCCAGGTATTCTAAATTCTAGCAACATTAACTACATATTTTCCAGCAGCAATGACCATATATACACTGTAATTATATAATGTGATTTACTTCAGTTCATGGAGGAAGACTTTTTATACGTGACTTTGGTAAATTTTATTTCATTGAAATGTTTCAAATCCCATTTTACCTAGTTGACCAGATCCAGACCAGAAGGAAGTAACATTTTCCTTTTATGTAATTTTTCCATGGTTTCCCAAATTCCCTGATCCTCTGAGTAGAGGCCAGTATCCCAAAGTCAGAATAGAATCACTGTGTTAACAGAGTTAAGACAGGATACTGCTGTTGACCTTCATAAAATTGGCCTATTTAACACCAGTGACTTGAGAGTGTTATCATGGCATTAAAACAACTTTCACTTAAAATTTGTGTCTTTTTGAAAAAGGATTTTACAAAGAAGAAATGAAGATATAATACTCTAAATAATATATCATTTTATTCCTGGAAGCCTAAATCAATCAAATACATACAAATTATTCTTATAAGCCATATTCTAATGAATAGTTCTACTTAGGTGACATTTCCAGAATCATAACTTGAACTAGAAGATTAGTCTCTGAAATATTAGTGTTCATCAGCCTGGTTTCTTGAAAGTATAAAAAAATGACAGATATTCTAAGGTTTTACATTTCAAAAAATAATTCAGGCATTATACAGGATTGCTTACCTTCTTAAAAAAAAATTCCCTCTGACATTCCCAATTTTACAAGAAACTTACTACGATTCTCATTTTAAGAAGTTAAAAAAAAAAGGAAACTAGAATACAGTTTTACTGTCAGAATTTAAGAGGGATGTTGGAGAAACAGCCCACAAGCAAGTGTGAGACATAATAACAGTTCACTTAACATATGCCTGACAAATCCAATTCCAAAAGATGTTATTCTTATAGACTTTTGAGTATAGACATAACATATAGTATTTTTATTGTCAATGATTTTAAAAAGCCAATTAATGTACTTTCCAAATATAATGAATTCATACAAATTAGTTATACTACTGTCTTCCTAATTTCTTTTTTGTTGTTGTTGTTATGAGATGGAGTCTCATTCTGTCACTGAGGCTGAAGTGCAATGGCACGATCTCGGCTCACTTCAACTTCCGCCTCCTGCCTCAGCCTCCCAAATACCTGGGATTACAGGTATGCACGAACACACCTGGCTAATTTTTGTATTTTTAGTAGAGATAGGGTTTCACCACATTGCCAGGCTTGTCTCAAACTCCTGGCCTCAAGTGATCACCCGCCTCAGCCTCCCAAAGTGCTAGGATTATAGGTGTGAGCCACCATGCCCTGCCTGTCTTCCTAATTTCTATCTGATATCTTGTAAGCAAGATTACCAAGTAAAGCCTTGATATAATATATTAATTAACCAAACATATTGGCCAAATTTTCATCTATCCAATCTATTAGAAATACTAAAACATCATATATTTTATTAATGTATTCAGCTTTTTTAAAAGGTATGTATAAGAAAGCACACTAAAGAGATATATTAATAGTTAAAAGAGTGATTTCCAAATAATTTCCTGAACCTGTGCTAGGAGATATACATATATATATATATATATATACACACATATATATAAAATATGAAACCAACTTCTTTACATATCCTAAAGACTAAAGGTATAATTGATATTCTTGGTATTCCAAAAGATGACCCTAAAGCACAGATAGCGATATGCTTTAGGATCATCTTTTGGAATACCAGCTCACCAGCTTTGTCCACAAAGATAACCCAAAATGGATTTTCAGTTAACTTTCACTTAGGATCATTATTTTCCTTGATCATCCCAGTCTTTGGAGATGTTACTATAAATGTTATTGTAAAAAAATAAGTAAATTCATAATACTAATGTACCCCAATGGTAATAGAAATTTCCGAAACTAGATTAAAGGAAATGAACTAAAAATTAAGTAATAAAGGCACATAACTATATTCCCACAATCTCTCTTTTGCAGATTTCAGTACCCCAGAAAAGTATGAATAGAAAGATATGATTGTAATAGTCACTAGATTTTGTTCCTTGTTAATAACTGTATTTTCAAATATTTGATAGACTGAAATTAGTAATGTTTTAGAACAGTCAGTATTCACAATTAATGTAACTGAAGTAATGGTATCTACTATTACTCTCGACTTTAACACGTTTTATTATCATCTCCAGATATATTTGTCTAATCCTTTTCTGTTATCACCACCTGTATTTATTTGTTCAGATGCTTCATCAGCTAAAAGATCTGATTGCTTATTACAACAATGAATGTTACTCTTTCGTTTTCCTCAACAATACCTGGTTGTACAACATATCTACACCATTTGTAATTCTACCCCTTTTCCTCCCAAAGGCTCAGAGTCACATTATTCCTTAGATTCTAACCAAATACTGTACAACTATAAAAGATTTCCAAACAATCGGGGGTATACATAGTACATGTATAAGTACATTTTACATGTAAAACCATGTAAAATAGTTTTTCAGTAGTGTCCTTAATATTTGTCTCCTTCCTTTTGCTTACAGTTGCCTCCATATGGGATCAAATTTTCAGTTGGCACTGAGCTCAATGGAATTGTGCTACAGTGAAAAGCACAGCTAAAATGGAATTAGAGATCAGTACTATCTGTTGTCCGTAGCATATTTTAAAATCTAACTTTGGAGATCCTGATTTGCCAGTTAGAAACATATCAAAAAGAAGTAAAAACTGAGCTTTTCCTTTTCCCTCAGTCCCACACCCAACTAAACTCCACCTTCTAATTCTTTTCTAAGCCTTTTATTTCTTGTTATCCCCACTACCCAACATTTTTCCCCAACTACAGACTTTTGAGAGCTGTATTCCTCATTTACACTTGTCTCCTTTCAACCTAGTCTCCAGCAAAAGCAATTATCTGGAAAACACTAATCAAAGTTCGTCTCCTAATTCCATTATGGTTACCCAGTATCCTCAGAATAAAGCCAAGTTTAATAACAAGACCTGTTAGATCCTTCATGATTTACCTTCTGCCTACTTTCTCAGTTTCATTTCTCAACACACACCAGCTTGACTAAATCAGCTTCCTTAATATGCCTCTTGCCCCCTAACCTTACATACTATCTTTTCTGCCTGGTATACTTCTCTTTTGACCCCTTCTATCTTCTTCAGTTGATTAGCTCCCACTGGTTCTTTAGGTCTCAGTTTACATGTCAGTTTTCCCAGAAAACCCTGACTCATTCAGGTTATGTGCTTTTCCTATCAATTCTCCTAGTACTCTGTGCTATCTCTACTTATCACCCCGCCTGCTCATCAGCCTTCTCCACTGACTTCTTCATGGACACAGGCACCATGTCTTTATATGCTTCTTTTCATTCAAAAAAAAAAAACCCTAGAAGAGCCTAGCACATAACACTTAGATATTTGCTAAATAATGAATGGCCAAGAAACTGAATGTGGTAGGTCTGAGTTTTTCAGCCATATTTATTATCACCAATGATTCTAAGAAGGAACTGAGAGGGACACACTTGATTCCCCTGGGGGTTTTCCAGAACACAGGCTAAAAACAATACAAAATAAAGTTTTTAGAGTCTCTTGAATGGAAAAAGTTTATCAAATGTACAGCTGTATCTTTTTAGGTAGCGATTTAACATGTTTAACTAAAGAGATAAATTTAGAAAAATCCCATTTATCAATGCTTTCTTTTGACTGTACCTCTAATACTTCACTTCCCAGAGATCAATAAAAACACTACTCGAGTTTCTTAATTTGCAAAAACAATAGATTATACTACCTAACACTAGTTTCCTAAGCCTCAACCTCTATGCTAAACACTTTTTTTAAAATTAAATTTTCATAACAAAACCATAAGGTAGAGGTTTTGTTAAAATCCTCATATACTAATAAATAATCTCAGCACAAAATTTGAACTCTAATCTGATTGCAGAGCTTGGGCTCTAAACTGCAACATCATCAACCTGGTAACACTGTCTGGTCTGCTATATAATAACTCAGAAAAGCAGGGAGTTCAAATTTAGACTCTGCTGATAATTTATACTAAAAGCACATCTGAAATAACAAGTATCTGAGGATCTTTCTATCGGTCAAAAATGGGAAAAGGTTTCATCTTACATGTCAATTCTAAACAGCTTGGAATGATTTTCAGTGCTGCACTGAGAGCAATGATCAGTTCCATGGAAAAGACTGCACTGACAGATGAGGAGTGAAAGCCATGGTTTCATCATGGCTCATTTTAACTAACTGTTGATTCTGCTTCTGGATATCCTAAATCTGTATCACACTTCAATACCAGACAGCTACCTATTAATTATGAAAATGTCTTTCCTAAAAAAACTATTTAATGATAAACTCTTAGTATGTTTATTTTGAATAATTTTCTAATTGCCATATAAATAAAGTCTTTGCATCTCCTGCAAAACCAATGCTTGAAAGTTTGTTCAACAGTTGATTTAACAACCATTGCACAAATAAGCCCAAGGCAAATTCATCTCATACTTTTGTATTATAAAAAGTTTTTTTCTCTTTATTTCCTCCCTTTATCAGACAATGAGAATAATATTAATAGAACACATTGTTTTCCTATCTGCCTTCATTCAGAATCAAATAAAGTATTCAATTATAACAATATCAGTTCAGATTTTAGGTGCTTTTCTTTGCTTTTATTATGTTTTAATTTATAATTTCATTAGTCCAATTATACAAGTATTATATTATAAATTTTCAATAACTCTGAAAGTGTTTAGGACATAAATTATAAACGAATTCAGTCTTTATTTTAGAGTGGGAAGGATTCAGGTATGATCCTACTTAGGCTGTTAATGTCCACCATATCATGTGCCAGTTAATATTGTAAAATACATGAGGTCAATGAAAATACTATTTTTTGTTTTACCTATGTATTTATATTACATATTACTCAAAATCTATTGATCACTTATTGAATATTAGGATGAAGTCAGATTTAGTCTCAGTAGGCTGAAAAGTCTTAGAAATAAGACATGAGCAAAGTTAAAATATCTCTGTGAAAACATGTGAGTACAACAATAAATATGAAGTAATGAAATAATGAGCGAATAATGAAATTCATTCACCCTTTGACAGTCCACAGAAATCCCATGAGGCAATGTCGGGGAATCATGTAAGAGTAAGAAGAGGCTAAGAAAATAAATCTGGTAATGGTACAGAAATGGTAGGAAAATTTTCTAATAGTGCCTTAATTGTTGCACTGAGCAAAACACCTGGTATAACACATACGCACATACTTAAAAACATGTAAATATATATAGATACATACAAAATATAGTTTGTGTTATGCAAATAAAATATAATTTGCTCAATCAGCTTTTCTAACTGTATGGATTAGGTCATAAAAATTTTTACAATTTAGGTACCCTTGCCTCTAAGTCCTTCACCCTAGGCTCTTATAGATCTACTCAAATAAGACTACCATACATTACTGAAAATTCTATAAACTACAAAATTCTACAAAAGTAATTGATTATATAATTTAAGTTACCTCTAAAATTTAATGGTGAGAAAAATGAGAGCTCATAAGATTTAATCATGATTTAATTTTTAAAATTCAAATCAAGAAAAAATAGAATCCAGAGTACAGAATCAGTGGATTAAATACATACACTAAGAAAAATGCAAATTTGATAAAATGGCAAATAGCTCAAGTAAAAATATGTAAAGGAAAAAATGAAAATGTAAAAAACATTCTACACTGAAATGTACTGAGGTAACATTTGTTATCTCACCTACTTTAAGCTGGCTTTTAGATTATCTGAAACCAACATTTTAAAACACAATACGAGCCTCAAGCAATCTTTCCCTGTTTCTACAATATACATAAATCATTAAAATTTACAGGGCAATAGACGGCAGAGTATATATAGTAGCTGACTCTAAGAGTATATAAAAGGGGAACAGAAACAAATCATAAATAAGGAACTGCTTAAAATTTATGTAAAAAGCCACACAATTAATTGAGGGGAGTATTTAATAAAACTTGTCATTAAAATTTCCTCTATCTGATATTTTCTATAAGTACAAACAAAATACACTATGATAAAAATTAGGGTCATGTTTATTTGAACAATTAATTAGAAAGTTCATTCTGAGTATTAAGGATGAAAAACGATATTTAACTGATTAAGTTTGAAGGAGGCAAAGTCAATGAATGCAAAAAAATACAAAAATGTTCTATTAATTAAAGCATTAAAGAAGATTGAGATTATTGTGGTCAAGTTTAATACCTATTTCAAGTATAATACTGTTTGTTTTTCTAATCTGCTCTATGACTTAAATATTGTTGCATATACTTGCAAAAATGAACAAAGGAAAAATCTTGGTATTGCTGGTCTTTCTGGACCACATTAATTTTGGGTTTTTTTGTTTTTTTTTTTTTTTGGGTAAATAACAAAAGAAGAGAATTATGAAGAGAGTAGTTCAGCAACAAATTTTCCATTAAGATATGAAATCATGCCATGAGTTCCAAAAAAAAAAAGGGTTAGTTGTATAAATCTGGGTAATAATCACTCATGCAAAAATCAGAAAATACCTGTACCGAGCCACCATGTCTGTCTGCTGCAAGGTGAGCTCTCAAATGGTGGGGATTTGCCTGCTGGGAGTCCCAAGCTGCCCTGTGGTCTGCCGACTGCCATTTATTTAATGCATATGGCATGCATGGAAGAAGAAAAACCCAATATGTTAAACATCTTATCCTCATAATATATAAAACAAATGCATAAAAGGAAATTTAAAATACCCTTACTATTCTGAATCATGGTGCAGTTAGCTTTGTATAGAGAATGTGGAGTGATTTTAGTTAAGTTGCCAAATTGTGTAATGATCAACAATAAAAATAAAATAGAACCATAAAATTTTAGAAGTAAAAATCCTTGAGAAATCACAGACTCTACCCTCTAGCTTTATAAATCAACTAACAAAGAACTAGAAGGGTAAAAATGCCATGACCAAGAAAGAACTCCAAATAAATCATGGGCACACTAAAAGGCCACACACTATATTTTTTTACAGTAGAGGTCACTATGTGTTTTCTGATGAGGAGCTACTTTTAGAAGGTACAAATGATAGCCTTTAAATAACTGTACTTGAGATTCTAGAAATATTTTCTCTCTTACTTAGTCCCCTATTTCTGACTGTGAGGATAATATGAGAAAACAGAAAAGTTATTTGAAAAGGGAGAAGTACTATACAGAATACTATGAGAATAAGACAAAACAAATTTTTTTCTAAGTGGTAATCCTACACATATGAATCTCTTTGCTTCCTTGATCTCTTTTTATCTGATTCAAATTAAGAAATCCATGTTTATGTAATAAGCTGAAAATCCTTGATGTTTTTAGGTCCCTTGGCAAATCTGCATGGCAATAACAAACATTATAATCTATCGGTAGAATTAAGAGTAATTTCTTAATAGCGGTCAATTTCTGTTTCAGAAAAATGTAGACAACACTAATAAAAAGTTGAAAGAAGAATATATTATTTAAGCTTTATTACATGTTTGGTTCTACATTAGCTGCTTTATATGTTATCGCATTTTGAGGTAGATATTATCATCCCCTTTTACTGATGAAGACAGTCAGACATTAAGCACTTCCCTATAGTCACAGAGCTAGCAATGAAGTAAACCACGAACTCCAATTCAGAGCCTAATGCTCTTCCAGTAATAATACTACCCAGCTCCTTACCACAATTAAATATATTCTATAGCCTTCAGTACTCTTTTCTTTCTTTTTCAAAGTCATGAAAATCTTGCTACAAAGTGCCAAGCACATTGGAATATAGGGACCCTCAAGCATATTGGTGGCCAGAGCAAGCTTCAGGGGAGAGATGTAAAATTCAAGTAGATATGTGAATAAATATTCTGGCACTAAGCTTCCTAAATTAAATTGTACAATGCAAAATTACATACTTTGTGGCATAAAGTATGTCATCAAAACAATTACAATAGTTCTATAATGCCTTTTCATTAAACCCTCCAAATTCATAACCAGAATTAAGCAGCTTTGAAGCTTAAGCTGAAATCAACTAGATGAAGTCAAGTCCAGACAAAATGAAAGAATGAAAATGACGCTAAAATTGAGACAAATATCTAGGGCAATGAGCAATATTTTGGGGTCATGGAACTCTCTAAGAATATAGTTCAGAGCTACACACCCTCTCCTGAAAATAAACAATTACATGTACGCAACAATTTCAGAATCCTCTCAACGATTTTTCCTACCATTTATTTAGGGACATTACAAAGGTTTAAGTCATTTGAAATAATCTTTCTTCCTTGGGATTGTGAACTATAGGTTTCTCATAGAACTTAAACTGCTTAGTAGTATAGGGATATTTAAGAAGAATTTTTTCTAGATATACAATTTTTCTATCAGGATGAAAATCTGTATACTCACATCTCAAATTCAATATATAAGCCTATCCTAAAGAATTGCCTGAATAAATTATATATATATATGTATGTATGTATATATATTCCCTACATTTAGTGCAACAAGGACTGGACCAATGAAACATAGTTCCCACTCTCAGTGAGCTGATAATCTAGTTAGCAAGACATGTCTGAAACACATAGAAAATTAAAAGTCTACAACATTAGATTTATAATTTAATTCAACAATCGAGGAATTTCACTTATTATAATACCTAACAGCTCAAGTAGAGAATTTTAAAGAATATCATATTAATCTTCTTCCAAGTATATTCAAGGAATTAACTCCGGTTTATAAAACACAAACTAAGTCTCAACTTCTGAGCTATTTCTTTCTTTATACAGAATCTTATCAGGGCACTCAAGCTATCAACTAATTTTAATATACATATGAAGTAATTTATGTATGAGATCCTTCATGATGCCAACTTTTGTAAGTCAAAAATTTAATATGTATCTTATACAGTTGGCCACGCTTTATAGCATAATATTGTTAAACACTCCCTAAAAATAGCATTTTATTGTGCTTATGGTTTTTAACAAGTGGTGTTCTTTCTTTTGATTTTCATCCCGTTTTAATCTTCACTTGAACTTTGATGGGATAAACAATGTAAATGTAAAACAGGAGAGTACACTATCCTTCTCCAAAAAGGGCTGTAACAGGAAATTTCTAGACACTCTTTAACTCACTGTGATAGCAAAACTTTTAAGTCAAAGAGAGAGAGAGAGAAATTAAAATATTGGTCAAAAATTTCAACAGCTTTCAATTCCTTTACCCAGTCAGGAAACATGAACTCTCCACTTGATCAACTTCTATGCCTTATCTCAGACTGACTCTCTACTCCTTGTCTAATCCAGCTCTACCTACTCTTTGCTCCAAACAAACTGAACTGCTGCCTATTCCTCAAATTCTCTATTTTTAAACTTCTGCTTCATATTTTATACTATTCAATCTCCCAAAAATGCCCTTATTTCTTCATTTCCCTTTAAAAATTGCATTCATTCTTTAGGCTCATGTCAAAAGCTACCTTTTCCATAAAATCTTCAGAGTCCCTCATATGATCTCCTCCATGGCACTTTAAACTCCAGACACAAGAGTTTTGATTGAATGAAAGCTTACTGTATGCTAGAAACTAACATACATTATTTCCATTTTATAGATAAGGAAACTGAGGCTTTGAGAGATTAACTCATTTGCCCAGGGTTAAGCCATATCCATGTTTGCCTGATTCTAGAGATTGACTGAGCTTAGCTATCACACTGCTTTTAGTCACTGGTTACAAAATCATTCTTACAGGTTATGCAGTCTTCTTTGCTTCTGCATTTCTACAATGTGTAGAATAGTAGCTTTACAACAGCAGAAATTCAATAAATAATTTATTTAACTAAACGATAGAAAGATCAAGTGCTATTACAATTCATTCCAATGGAGTACCCCATTGGAATGAAAATATTCTAATAGAATATCAAATACTGCTCAAAGTTTACACTACTTTGTACCATTTATTAAAGATTTATGATTAAACATTTTAATGCCACTATTAAACTAATAAACAGTGAAAATCAAGAGAAAAGTTCATCTATTAAAAACATGTATTTTTAATCCTTCAATCTTTTTTATCTACTGAAGAAAAAAGTATATGTTTCAATCATGAAACAAAGAAAGATATTTCATATCTAAAAGGCAGCAAACCTGGTTTTTGGATTGTTGCATCTTATCTCTGTGTTGATGTGCTTCTCTGTTTGATGACAGAGCAGGATCTTGCTGAACTGCACCCACTGGAGTAGGCTACAATACAATAACAATTGGTATTGATACATTCCATTTCAAAAATCTTATTTAAAGTCATTTACTTAGCTGCTTAAAGAATTAAAGAAAAATAAAAGACTGTTAAACAAACTAAAGTTTTAGGTAAAGACATCATTCTCAAAATGTCGTTAAAGCTAAGAAGGTAAAGCAAAGAGAATACAGCTACTTTTTAAAGTGTTTTTAAAGTATTTAAATTCTTTTTTTTTTTTTTTTTTTAAAGACGGGTTTCACCATGTTGGTCAGGCTGGTCTTGAACTCCCAACCTCAGGTGATCCGCCTACCTTGGCCTCCAAAGTGCCTGGATTACAGGTGTGAGTCACCACACCGGGACACGTATTTAAATTCTTTATAAAGTATTTATTTTTACACCTACAAAAGACTTTCTAATGCTGTCATTATTTTTAGGCTACATTTTCATATTAAAATGATAAAAATGTACTTGTTTATGTCTCTCATTTCCAAAGCAAATGTATAAATAGAATAAACTTTTAAGAAAATTAAAAGAATAAAAAAATAAAATAATAGCATTGCTTATTTCCAATATTTTGACTTGGAGAGGCTTATAATTTTAATTTTCACCAAGGTATTAAAGTATTAATCATGAGAATATTACACATTTGACATTAAGAACTAAATCAGGGTGAAAAGTTAAAAATGTAACTCTTCAAGCTAAAAGGCAAAGAATCCAGATGCAGGGTTTTTGAAAACCTCAAAGAATACTAGTACGGCGCTACCTGCAGAAATGTCCTTTAAAAAAACAATATAATTAATCATTTAAAACAACTATTTGTTTTCAACTCTTTTCAAATGAAGGAACTATACTATTAAAAAAACAGATACTATAAATAACATTTTATTATGTAGAATAGAGTACTCACCAACTGTTTACCAATCCAGTCATATTCATAATCAAACATATATCCTTTTCGATCAAACAAGTCAGTAAAAAGCTTTCTTAAGTAGTCATAGTCTGGTTTTTCAAAAAAATCTAGCCTTCTTACATAACGAAGATATGTTGCCATTTCTTCTAGAAATAATATAAAAATTATTCAAACTATACTTTAATACTCAATAATAAAATTAGGTATCTAAAAGCACATTGTATTATATATTAAAAAACACGGAAAAGTAACAAAATTCTGCAATTTAAATTTTTCTGAGTTTAATTACAACAAAATTAAAAAGAGGAGAAGAAGGAAGGGGAATAGAGACACAAAAAAATGAGAGGTTCAGTTTAACAACCACTATTTTTATTTCATTACATTAGGAAAAGCTAAAATTTTTATTTTATAAGATTATTTTTAATGTTTGGTAGAATGACAAGTTGAATAAGCAACTTAATGCATGATTAATCACAAAGCACCATAATCAGTTTATAAATTTAAAATTTTATTTAAAATACTGGTGAGAACTGATTTATATTGGCTTGCTGGATTTCCTTTAGAATCAGTGACATATACCAACTAACAGCAAATTCAAATTCCTAATCTTGGCTTTGAGCAGTATTCTAACCAATTAAGCTAATAAACGGAAGCTAAAACAAATGTCAAAAACATAACACAAGGGCACAGTAAGTCTTCTCTTCATTTCTAGTCATATATTTAACAATTATTTGGCAATATACAAATCTCTGCATGCTATCATAATTCCCAAATGTATTAGCTATATCTATTTTTAAGGGTCATGCTTCCCAGAAGGAAAAGAAGAAACAAAAAAATACATAAAACAATGGGTAAAATGGTAAGCAATCAGTAAAGCAGGGCATTTTACCATCAGGGCACAGAAAATTATTGCAGTAAGAGATGGTAACTTACACCTAAGCATTCACCTAGCCCCAGCCACAAGGAAAAGGATAACACCCACCACAATAGGCAACAAAAGTGGTACACAGTAGCCTTCTTTATGTGGTGACTCTCCCACTATTCCACTTTCTAGCTAAATACCTGGCTAATTTATTTGGCAACCCCATTTTTCCCACCTTTATATAGGCTTCCTTAATGACACCTATCCTATCTGCTTACACCTAAACTGCCAGTACTATTAATCAACATTAAAAAAAATCTACTAGATATTACAGCAAGAAAGGAAAACACATAATTAAAGTTGCTGTCAATGAATAAGATAAACAAGCTTGAGAAAGAGCTACTTTAGATTTTGTTGATAATATTATTATTACATTAATAATGCCAGCATTGTACAGGAAAAGTAGGGAATACTAAAGTGAGATAGGAATTACGTATTACATCTTCAAATTTAGTTCTCTTTTCACTTAACGTTGCTGCAAAAATATATCACATCATTATTTTAATATACTAACAAGTTATTATTATTTCTTAATTTAGAAACCTTAAGTAAATTTTTGTTGGCTTAATTTGAGTTGCCACAAATCTACTTGAAAGCAAAATTGTTTTCATAAATGCATACAGCTCCCCAAAATAAAATTAGCTTAAAACCAGTGAAGTCAGTAAGGTTTTACTGACCCTACTTAATTTAAGTAAGTTTAGTTTGTAAACTAAACCAATTCATACTCCATATACCTCCTCTGAACTTGACATTGAGATCCAAATGATTAATACCGTATACCAAAACTTTGTACCTGGCATTCCTTAGCAAATATTTTAATTTATTAAAAGTATACCATTAAAGAAAATATTTATTCAGCTAGTACTGATCAACACTTTTAACAGATAGGATTTTCCTTTATTAATACCATTTACAAAGCAAATATAGAAAGTGTCCCTGTGGGCTAGGCATCAAATGCTGAAATCCTTTAAATTATATTTTTAGCTCTTTTTTTAAAGCATAGAAAAATAATTTATAAACTTAAGCAATAAAAATCAGCATTTCTAATTTTCTGTATATAATGTATCAACTTCACATTACTCATTACCTGGAAAATTTTCACATAACACTTCTATTGGTGTAGCCCGTTTTGTATCTCCAATTTTCTGATACCTCTCCTTTAATGTGTCAGCCTAAAAAAGAAAAAAAAATCTTGAGAATGTGTTAATTTAAAAAGTACTTAACTGGGCTGTACACGGTAGCTTGTGCCTGTGACCTGAGAGCTTTGGAAGGCTGAGGCAGGAGGAGTGCTTGAACCCAGGAGTTCAAGACCAGCCTGGGCAGCAGAGCACTGATCCCTACTTACAAAATAAAATTTTAAAATATATAAATTGTTTAGTTGAAAGAGAGGACCTCAATATCTTAATATTTTATGAAATTCAATAAAAAAACACAAAAACAATTACCTTTAAGCCTTGCCAAGGAAGACTGCCTCTCAGAAAATACATGAACATATGACCTAAAGCTTCTAAATCATCTCTTCTACTTTGTTCTGAAATATAAAAGAAATGTAAATTTCACTTTTCTCTTAACAGTTAAGAATGAAGAGTTTATTCTTTCATTAGGTATAAATTAATTTCCAAAAGTTGAACATATAAATACAAAATACAGATCTAGTACCTATAAATGATAAAATTATAGCTATATAAATGATGTTTTTATATTGATTATTGTATATCTTTAAAATATTATTTTATGATTTTTAGATGCTATAAGAGATTTATTTATCTGCTTAGAAATCTATTCATGGAAGTACAGGCCAAGGGGAAAGAGTTCCACTGGTCAATCAGCATCACCGTATACTATAGCTCTGTCTTAATGGTTCAGAAGGTCACATATTAAAACTTCTGAGAAGTCTAGAGTTTAAAAGGTTTAAGTCCTTCAACCCTGCATTTCCTAAAGTTATATGAGCACAAAACTTCCATAATACTCTCCATTAAATTAAACACAATTATGAAATATTGTGTGTAATATATTTTAAGAAAAACTTGTGTCTGACATATACCAACATTAATAACCCCTTGACTATCACCAAAATTGCTGCTTGAACAAACTGTCATTTCCAAGTTGTTGTTAAAACAAAATGTTGTTTAGTACATAAGTGAATAAAGATCACTGATTAAGACTCAGGGAGATACTTATAAATATTTGTTGATTGAATATTTCAATTTTTGAAGTTAAATACTTAAAATTTCTTGATGTTTCAAAATAATACAAAAATGCTGACTACAAATGAGAAAAAAATACTTTAATAAAACGATGTTTATGTGCAAGATGTTTTATCCAAATGAACAATCATACTATCTAGGCAGAATTCAATGCTTTCAGAAAAGCAAACTTTGATTCAAAGTATGGACCTGAACTAGGGTGAAGGGTCAGAAAAGGTTTTGATTGTTACTGTGTACTCTCAAACATTCTATACTTGTTGATATGGTTTGGCTGTATTCACACCCAAACCTCATCTTGAATTCCCATGTGCTGTGAGAGGGACCCAGTAGGAGGTAACTGAATCATGGCGGCAGGTCTTTCCCATGCTGTTCTCATGATAGTGAATAAGCCTCATGAGACCTGATGGTTTTCTAAGGAGGAGTTTACCTGCACCAGCTCTCTCTTTCCCTGCCGCCATCCACGTAAGATGTCACTTGCTCCTCCTTGACTTCCATGATGACTGTGAGGCCTCCCCAGCCATGTGAAACTAAGTCCATTGAACCTCTTTCTTTTGTAAATTGCCCAGTCTAGGGTATGTCTTTATCAGCAGCATGAAAACAGACTAATACACTTGTTTTTAATAACACTTGTTATGATTTAAAGATACTATGTTTGTGTTCCTATTTAATCAATATATATACTTCCATCAGACTGCAAGTTGCAGGAGAGTGGATGTTTCTTTGGCTCATTATTCTCAAGATGCAGTATAATGACTGGCCCAGAGGAGGCACTCAACTCATATTACTGCAATAAATAAATGAATATTTGAAAAGATATAATATTAGATATGTGTCCTTTTTCTGTAAGCATCAGGGAAATAAAGAATATACATCAAAATTGGTAGTCATTAAGGCTACGAGATTGGCACACTAGAGAAGAAACTTCAACTTGCCATTTCACATGCTCAAAATAAGATATAATTAAGAATTTTTTCTTTCTTTTACTTTTTGTTTTAATGCTATTAAAAATAGCAAACTTTTCCAACATAAGTAATGGCCTTCAAATCCATCTACATCCACTAATGAAAGTGGGGATGAGAATATGAAAAAAACTAGTTATGACTTTTATAACCAAAATTTCACTTCGTTAGATTCTGGTAGTCTTAACAGTATAGTTTGATAAGTTTTTACAACACACACACACACACACCTGCATAACTACCACCACAATCAAGAAGCATTTCTAATGCTCCAGAAGGTTTCCTATGTCCCTTGCCTATTACTCTCCCCCAACCCCCACAACACCACCAGCCTCAGGCAGTCACTTATCTGCCTTCATCGCTACAGATTAGACAGGTGCACATGAATGGAATCATACAGTATAGATTCATGCCCAAATTCTTTCACTTACTGTGTTTTCAGGATTCATCCATGTTGCTGTGTGCAATAATAGCTCATTACTTTTTAATGTTGAGTAGTACATTACAATGTGTTTATTCATCTGCTGACAGACATTTGGGTAGATTCCAGTTTGGGGCTATTGTGAATAAAGCTGTTATGAACACTCTTTTTGTACTAGTGTATGTTGACATATGTCTTCATTTATGTTGGGTTAATATCTAGAAGGGGGACTGCTACATGATATTGTAGGTATAGGTTTTGCTTTATAAAAAAACTTTTATACCATTTTCCAAAGGGGTTGTGCCATTTCATATTTCCACCAGCAACGTATGGGAGTTCCAGTTGCTTCCAAACCTGTCCAACCTTTAGTATGGTCTTTTAAATTTTAGCCATGCTAGCGGCTATGAAGTACAAGCAGTACTAACTCCTTTGAGAAAAGCAAACTTGAAAGTATGGATTAACGGACTTAATTTGCATTTCACTGGTGACTAGTGTTGAGCTTTATTTCATGTGTTTGCCCATTTAAAAAAGTGGGTTGTCTTATTTAAAAGCTGTAATAGGGGGCTGGGCGCAGTGGCTCAGCCTGTAATCCCAGAACTTTGGGAGGCCGAGGCAGGAGGATCACGAGGTCAAGAGATCAAGACCATCCTGGCCAACATGGTGAAGCCCTCTCTCTACTAAAAATACAAAACAATTAGCCGGGCGTGGTGGCGCGCACCTGTAGTCCCAGCTACTCGGGAGGCTGAGGCAGGAGAATTGCTTGAACCCGGGAAGTGGAGGTTGTAGTGAGCCGAGATCCCGCCACTGCACTCCAGCCTGGTGCGTGGTGACAGAGCAAGATTCTGTCTCAAAAAAAAAAAAAAAAAAATGTTGTAATAGTTCCTTGTATATTCTGGATACAAGTTATTTTCAGGCATGTTTTGCCAATATCCTTTCCCTTCAAGACTATAACTTGCTATTTTTCATTTTCTTAAGAGCGTGTTTAAAAGAAATTTTATATTTTTATGAAGTCCAATTTATCAGAGTTTTTTCCCTCTTATTTTTTATACTTTTGGAGGTCCAATCTAGGAAATCTCTGCTCACAAGATTACGAAGATTTTCTCCTGTTTTTTCTTCTAGAAATTTTACAGTTATGGCTCCTACATTTAAACCTATTTTCATTTTGAGGTAATTTTTTTTGACTTTGGTGTGGAGTAAGGATTTAGATTCATTTTTCTCAATATTGAGATCTAGTTATTCTCATATAGTTTCTTGGCAAAACTATCCTTTCCCTTGAGTTGCTTTTGCACCATTCTCAAAAATCAATTGATCATCTATGTATAAGTCTATTTCACACTCTGTATTTTGACCAACTTATCTGTTATCTGCCTTCATATCAATACCACCCAAAATAAACGGACAAAATAATGACAAATGAGAAAATCAATGACCAGACAATGACCAATGGACAATCAGTAATGAAAACCAGTGAAAATAAAAGCTGGATTGGAAAGTTCAATAAAATCACTAATCCTCTTAGAAGGCTAAAAGAAAGAAACACAAATTACCAATAAGAGAAGAAACAGATCCTACAAATATTAAAAGAATGACAAAAGAATATCACAAACCAACCCAATAAATTAAACAACTTATATGAAATGGACAAATATCTTGAAAGTTACTAATAACTAAAACTGCCTCAAGAAGAAAATGTGATAGCTCTGCATCAATTAAAGAAATTAAATTTATTATTTAAAAACTTCCCAAAATATAATCCAGACAGCATCACTACTGAATTCTATTAAACGGTTAAAGAAAAATACAAGTTCTACACAAACTCAGGATTAGAAGAGTTCCCAATTCACAGCATTACCCTGTTACCAAAAACAGACAAAGACATTACAATTAAAGGAAACTACAAGAAACATTCCTCATAAACACAAACACAAAATCCTTAAAAAGGTAATACCTCATGACTAAGTAAGGTTAATCCTAGGAATGTAGGTTTAGTTTAACTTTTAAAAATCAATCAGTATAAATCATCAAATTAGTAGAATAAAATATGAATCATATCATCATCTCAGATATAGAAAAAGCACTTGACAAAAATCCAACATGGATTAATGAGAAAACAAAAAACTCTCAGCAAACTAGGATTCAAAAGGAAACTTCATTCTGATAACAATTATGAAAAATGTCAACTAACTTCATTTTTAAATGATAAAAGACACTCCAAAGATCAGGAACAAACAAAGATGTCCAGTCTTGCCCTTCCTATTCAGTATTGTACTGAAGTTCTTGCCGGTACAAAGAAGCAAAGACAACCAAATTAACAGATATTCAGATTGGAAATGAAAAAGTAGAACTATTGCTCTTTGCAGACAACAGGACTGTATATGCAGAAAATTTCAAATAATCTACAAAAGGTCTATTACAACTAGTAGGTAAGTTTTAGCAAGGTTACAGGATAAGGTTAATATATAAAAATCAACTGGGGCCAGGCTCAGTGGCTCACACCTGTAATCTCAGGACTTTGGGGAGGTTGAGGCCGGAGGATAGCCTGAGGCCAGGAGTTCAAGACTTAGCTTGGACAACATAAAGAAACCTTAACTTTACAAAACATTTGTTTTAAATTAGCTGGTGGCTAGGTGTGTTGGTGTGCACTTGTAGTCCCAGCTACTAGGGAGGGTGAGGTAGGAGAATTCCTCGAGCCTAGGAGGATGAGGCTGCAAGGAGCCATGGCAGCACCACCGCACTCCAGCCTGGATGACAGAGCAAGACCCTGTCTCTAAAAAATAAAAATAAACTGGATTTCTATACTCACAATGAACAGTGAAAACTGAATTTTAAAACCAATGCCTTTACAACAGCATCAAAAAACATGAACTGTGTAGGGATACATGTATCAATGTATATGTAAGAGCTATAAATTATATGCATATAATATTTATGCATATAGTTTAAA